CCCCAAAACCCCAAAACCCCAAAACCCCAAAACCCCTAAAATCAAGCAAGCTATTGTTCTCTATATTATAATAATAAAAATGAATAACAAGGAGAAGGACTTTATTTTCCGGTTTGATAAGGAGTCTAATGCTTCATATTCTCAGATCAATTTCGACTTCAACAAATTTCATCTTGAGTAAGCTCCATATAAACTTTGAAAATTTTAAGCCAAGAGAGGCGGCTTAGCGGCCGATTCTGGCTCAAAAAAGAGCGAGGAGTTTTAAGTAACCTCAGTTGGTAGAAATTATGCTAAGGCAGCGTTTAACTGAGTTTTATAGCGGATCTAACTACTCTAAAAGTGAGTTTTGACTCAAAGAATTCCAGATGGAGCCTATGAAGCAATACCAGCACAGTCTTGAGAAAGATTCAGATATTCACCTAGCCAGTTTTACTACCCCTCCAGATTTGATCAAGCAAGCTCAAGAAATGATCAAGGATTCTAACTGAGTGTGCGATCTTAAAGAGGTAACTTAGTCTAACCTTTTTAATTCTATAACTTGTTTAGGAAGTCGAAAAGAAATTTAAGGCTAAATTTGAACCAGCCATTGAAAAGAAAGACATCGATAACGGCATCTCTTATGTCGTCAGTAGCTGTTGTGTCTCTATGAATGATCTCTGCAAATGTCTGACTGATACTTCAAGTACAATGCAAGATATGCAAATTTATAATGGTGATGTTCCCAACCAGTTCAAAATCAAGATAGATTCTAAAAATGGTCTTCTGCCTATCAACCAGGTCAGGATGTGTTGTAGTTGCCCACCAGGCAAGTGTAAGAAGAATCAGGAGAAGGAGTTCCAAGTTCCTGAGAAAGTTTTGAAGGCTCCTCCCAGAGCATTCATCCTTCGCAGGAATATATACAGGACGTTCTTCAACTTCTTTAAAGATTGCTTTGCGAAATACACCAAGAAATTTATGAATCTGAGGTGCTCGCCTGAAAAATAAGGCAGAGAAAATGGAAAAATATATCAGTGATTTCATCGAGGAGAACTTTGATCAGCAATATGCTAATCTTAATTCTGAACAACAGAAGGAGTTCATAGTAGCTTTGAAGCAAGTGCTGTTCAGCCACAGGCACAAAAAGGGTGATCTTTTTGTCACCAACATTGATTTTACCCCTGTCAGGGATGTTATGTACTCTTATAGCTACAAAGCAAGAGATGAGTTCTTCTCGTCTATGTACAGATGCTTCTTTTTCAATTATTGTCTAGATAAACACAAGGGCACCTTCTTGAAGAAGGCAAAGAAGAAGGATACGAAGAGCCTTAATGAAGAATATGAAAAGGAATTTAACGCAATCGAGGATATACTCAAGACAAAGAGAGTTAACCTCTGGCTAAGTTAGTCTTTAATACTGGGACTCTTAGTAATCTTGCTGATTCATATTCTTAATATTTTATAATGACATAATGGTAATTCTATTCGCCGAATTCTTTATGGGGTTTTGGGGTTTTGGGGTTTTGGGGTTTTGGGG